ATGGGGAGCTCCGCCGAAGGCCCCCAGTGGCCGGGTTTGCATGGCGGCCTCGGGCCATTTCGGCACACCCCCCACTAGGATCGTGGCCCCATGGTGAGCTCCACCGACGGCGCCAGTGGCAGGGTTCGCATGGCGGCCTCGGGCCATTTCGGCACACCCCTCACGAGGATCGTGGCCCCATAGGGAGCTCCACCGAAGGCGCCAGTGGCAGCGTTCGCATGGCGGCCTCGGGTCAGTTCGGCGCGCCCCTCACGAGGATCTGGCCCTATAGGGAGCTCCGCCGAAGACCCCCAGTGGCAGGGTTCGCATGGCGGCCTCGGGCCATTTCGGCACACCCCTCACGAGGATCGTGGCCCCATGGGGAGTTCCACCGAAGGCGCCAGTGGCAGCGTTCGCATGGCGGCCTCGGGCCATTTCGGCACACCCCTCACGAGGATCGTGGCCCCATAGGGAGCTCCACCGAAGGCCCCAGTGGCAGGGTTCGCACGGCGGCCTCGGGCCATTTCGGCACACCCCTCACGAGGACCCCTCCACACCCTCCACCGTGGCCCAGTGGCAGGGTTCGCACGGCGGCCTCGGGCCATTTCGGCACACCCCTCACGGATCGTGGCCCCAAGGGAGCTCCACCGAAGGCGCCAGTGGCAGGGTTCGCATGGCGGCCTCGGGCCATTTCGGCACACCCCTCACGAGGATCGTGGCCCCATAGGGAGCTCCACCGAAGGCGCCAGTGGCAGGGTTCGCATGGCGGCCTCGGGCCATTTCGGCACACCCCTCACGAGGATCGTGGCCCCACAGGAGTTCCACCGAAGGCGCCAGTTGCAGGGTTCGCATGGCGGCCCCGGGCCATTGCGGCACACCCCTCACCAGGATCGTGGCCCCATAGTTGTGCTGCTTCAGCAACCGCGCCTGGGCGTCGTACTCCGCCTTGTCGACGTGCAACGCCACCTCCTCCCTCATGGCTATCAAAGCCCTCTTCTGCTTCTGCTCCTCGGTCAGAGGGACGCAGTCCTTGTCGTCGTCGGCGCCCGCGAAGACGGCCACGAACGTGCTCCTGAGCATGTCGGGTTCCGGCGGGAAGCTGTGGCCACATAGGGAGCGCGGGCAAAGATGGTTTTCACAATATCGGTATTCATAACTGAATATGGTTGGGTCCTTCGCCAGGCTAATGAAAACAGGACCGCGCCCACGTCTGAAGCTCTTGCACCATTTCCCACTTCCGGCTCGGAGCTTCGGACGAACTCTCAAGGGCAGCCACAATTTGGAAAGGAGCCGCTCTCCATCCGTGCAGCTGTGCCACCTATTGATCCAGAGAACAGAAGTTACAATTGATTAGTGAGCATCGAGCAACCTAATTAATCCTCAGCCATTAGTCTGCTGCTCATCGGGCTTGTCATGGCATTCGCCCGGGCGACAGAAAGAAATAACAGAAGTTACACGCACCCAGTAGCCAAGGCCAAGAGCGTTGAGAGGGCAACCTCCAGGCCTCCATGCTGGTGGCAGGGACCCATGGGGCCCTCGGAAACGGCAGAAACAGAGGCACCGACACGGCCTCGGAGAGGCCCACAATGTCCCGGGAAGTTCCAGGAGGCCCCCCGAGACGGCCCGAGACTCGGAGGCGAGCCTCTCCTACTCCTCCTCCTCCTTCCACCTCCTTCTCCTCCTCCTCCTCCTCCTTCTCCCCTCCTCCTCCTCCTCCTCCTCCTACCTCCTCCTCCTCCTCTTCCTCCCTCCTCTCTACCTCCTCCTCCCTCCTCCTCTCCTCCTCCTCCTCCCCCTCTCCTCCCCCTCACCTCCCCCTGCTCCCCTGCTCCCCCTGCTCCCCTTCCTCATCCTCCTCATCCTCCTCCTCCTCCTCCTCGGTTTTTCGGGACCACCTGGGGGAGTGTTGGGACCTTCGCCGCGTCGCTCCCACCGGTCTCAAAAAGTTGATTTTTGCCCGGCTTGAGTTTGTCGAGCTTTCGGCCTGGGCCGCCGCCAGAAGCCTTGGGATTGCTCGGCCCTTCTCTGGAGCCCGTCAGGGCTCCCCTCCGCCGCAGGGCTAACCGATCGCCGCAGAGGAGATCGGCTATCCTCGCTTACCTCGGGCGCGATTTTTGGACCCCCGAAAAAGTCTGGCGGGCGGGCTTTGGGGACGACAGGTCCTGCCAGGCGTGTGGTTTCGAGGTGGGCTGCCAGCATCACCGCATGTGCCGTTGTCCTCGTCAGGAAGCCGCTCGGGCAGAAACAGCCGAGGCGGAGAATCTCCAAGGGATCGTGTATCGAGCTGAGACCTCCTCCTCGGACTCTCCTCTCTTCTCGCGTGGTATCGTCGAGCACCCCTTGGAAGATCCCTTCCTAGACTGCACGCCCGCCCAGGAGGAGCTTAACCCCAGCTTTGAAAACCCGCCCCTGGTCAGCGGCTGGGCCTATCCCGACGGCTCGGGCAAGGGCCCGCTAGGGCTCAAGAGTCCTGGTTGGGGTTATGTTTCTTCTGGACCAGGAGGGGGCCGTGGCTCGGGCCATGCATGGCTCCATCCCTGGGCTCCGATGCCACGCGTCTGTTTTCCGTGCCGAGATTCATGGTCTGATGAAGACCCTCGAATGCGCCGCCCCTCCCCTCCGAGCCGGTACCGATAACAACACCGTCATCCGAGAATTGAGGCGTGGTCGCAAGTGGTGTTGCTCCCCCAAGCGGCCTCACGCCGATCTCTGGGACCGTGTCTGGTTCTTGCTCCAGGAAAGTTTTCCTGGGGACGGCGATTTTGCCTTTGTGCAAGTTCGTGCCCGCACCCGTGGGCCTCGGGGCGACTCTCATGAGGCGGAGCTCGATTTCCAGGGGAACCAGTTAGCTGACGCGGAGGCCAAGGCGGGTGCCGATCTGCAGGCGATTCCCCAGTGGTGGCGGGGGTGACTGTTCGGACGGGGGGCTTCGAGGATTCCACGGGGAGGCCCGCCGCAGGCTCCGTCGGGCCCCGTCAGCGCCGCCAAGGCCCACCAGCGGGGGAGAAAACCCACGCCCTGGTCTGGTCTCGGGGGGCCTGGAGGTGCACGGTCTGCTGTAGGTATGCCTTGTCCCCCCAGACCAAGAGGGCCCTGAGGCGCAAGCCGTGTAAGGGACAGGTTCGGGTGGACCGTCGTTTCGTCGTGGAGCGGGGGTAGGGGGAGCATCTTATCCCACCAGCCCTGCGCGGTGAGGCCCTCGGCCATGATTTGCACCGCGCGGGCCAATTTACCTTGTGCGATCGGTGCGGTTGTGTCCTCGGGGAAGGCTCAGGACTTCTCCGAAAGCTTGGGGACTTCCGAGCCTTCTGGGAAGGCCTGCTCCTTCCCACTCCCCCCCGCTCACTTGCCGCCGAGAGGCGGCTCCAAGACAGCTCAGAACGCACGCAGCACGGCCGAATGCGGTCCCCAAAGTGCCCAAGAAGTCTCCCAAAGGACCCCGGGGGATGCTCCCGAGGAGCAAAAACCATGGAACAACTTTACGGACCACCTTTACCTTTTGTTGTTGTTGTTTGGCTTTTCGCCTCGGATGAGCTTCCGAGGCCTCGCGATGGGCTCCAGCGGGCCCTCAAGCGGCTCGCAAGACGCCTCCAAGCGACCCCAAGAGGCCCTAAGAGGCACATAAGAGACCCCAATATGCCCCCAGGACGCTCCCAATTCGCCTTGAAGGGGCCACCAAGAAGCCCCAAGATCCGCACGAGACCCTCGCGAGGCCCCACGAGCTCCCAAGAGGCCCCCAAAGAGGCACTACGAGGCTCCAAGACGCCCCCAAGAGCGCCCAGCAGGCCCCAAAAGGCCCCCAAAGAGGCCCCCCGGGCACCCTCAATGGGGCCCCCAATACCCCCTCCAAACCGCCCCCAAGACATCCCCAATACGCCCACAATGCGCCTATAAGAGGCTACTAAGAGCCCCGCATAATGCTTCCAAACGGTCCAATCATTTTTCACAAAGTGCCTTCATGGAGTGTACACAGCCAGGGCCAACTTGGAACATCTTTGAAGTTCGACCTCTCTCGTCTCAGCCGTTACGACTGCTGCTAAACAGTGGGGCCACTTAGAAACAGAGCGCGCGCGACTGTTTCTAGTTGTGCATACATTGAGCGAAGCCTAAAGCGACCGCCCAGATTTGAAAGCGAGCCGTCCAACATACGTGCAGAGTGTTGCGTATGTTCAAGCTCCCGTCCTCTAGTTTCAATAAGTTTTCAACAGGAACTGCCCAGCATGTGGTGTAACTGCTGCAAACGCAAATTCGAGTGCGCGCGGTGTCAAGGCGAGAGCCTCTTTTCGAATAACACGCCTTTCATATTTGAAACTGCTGCGGTATTTTACAAGGCGAATGCGCGCGGCGCTCAGGCGGGAGTTTCGTGTTGAAAAGGAGCAACCCTCCATTTTTGAAGCACTTGCACACTTCAAAGGCGAATGTGCGCGGCGCCCAGGCGAGAACCCCGGTGTGAAGAGGCACCGCCCTCCATCCTTGCAGCGGTTGCGAATTTTTAAGTCGAGCCTGCGCGGCGCTCGAGCGAGACCTAAACGCTCTTTTGCTGGACTTCGGCTGTGCTTTGTTTTTCGTTTTGGCAGGGAGGCTCAGGAAAATGGGTGGAGCAAAACGAAGAACAAAACGACAGCAAAACGAAAAACAACGTTTAGGTCCAGCCCCGCGCGAGGGCTCCATTTTCAGAAGAGTCAGTCAATACCGGAAACTTCGGTCAAACTTTTAAGACACATGTGTGCGGCGCTACGGCGAGAGCTCCATTGTGAGAGCGAGCCGCTCTCCACCTTTGAGGCTGCCGCAGATTTCAAGCTGCAGGGACAGATCTGCATGGTGAAGAAGTCTCCAGCGAAACGCCCAGCCCGCCCTATCGACATGTCTGGGGGACGACGGGGAGGATTTATTCATGAGGAAAATGGATGGCGTGGAGAGAAGGATGTGGGATGGTGGTGGGTGGGAGAGGAGAAGAAGGGGGAGCATGCAGCGAAGGAGGGGAATGAGGAGTGGAGGCGAGGGGAGAGAGAGCCCCGAAGGCGGAGAGCAAGAAGGACAAACTCGACGCGACTGGTGAGGTGAAGAAGGCCGCGGCGAGGCTTCAGGCCTCGATGTTCGACAAGAAGAAGTAGGAGGGAAGTAGGAGCGCCGGCGGGCGGGAATGGTAACATCAGCCCTCAGCCCGCCGTTGTTTTGAAGCCTTCGTCCTCGACGTTGGCGGCCCGCTCCAACACGAGCGGATTCGGGCGGGGGTCAAACAAGGGCGGCTTTGCTGGCCGAAGCCTGCTGTAAGCTCGGCGGGAGTAGTGGCAGAGCCTTCCACCCAAGAGAGGTCAACGCCAACATGACCAGGGCTGCGGGAGGCGACAGAATGCTGTTGGCCTCAATTGCTTGATGAATGAATGATGATGATGGTGATGGTCCTGCTGCTGATGGTGATGCTGTTGATGACGATGACGATGACGATACATATGATGAGCGTCTTTCTCTTTTCGCTGAGTGCGTGTTAATCATCATTGTGGTATCCTTTCTACTCTTCCTTCCTCTTGGTCGTGCTCCTCCTGCTCCTCAACAAGCGCGGAGGGCCTGACTGGTGACACGGTACCTGGCGGCGAGCGCAGTCTCCTCCTCTTCCTCGCTTGAAACTGTTAAGGGGTGGAAGGACACCAGCACACGACCACACTCCTGCAACACACTCTTTTACCACCACTTGAGCAACACATTCAGTAATACCTTTCGTCGAACACTCTCGCCAGGTCGAATCGCCAAAACCAGCTCGTCATGTCAAGTTGTCACAGCAACATCTGATACTAGTTCATTTCCCAACCATCCTGTGGTGTGGGGCCTTCGTTTTAAAGAGACATTGCCCCGCGTTTCCCTCCTCCTCCTCCTCCTCCTCCTCCTTTTCCAAGGCCCGAAAGGAGAGGCCTTCTCCATACACGCGCACACACTGCACATCCGAACTATTGAAGCCTACCATCGTTTCGATACTGTCTGTGTTTCCCGAACAATTCGAGTCATCAGGTTTGCAGTTCCCGTCGTTTTGTTTGCAGTGAACAGCGTGAGGCGACTGTCGGCCAGTTCTTTTCAACGTCGGTGAAGGCCTTGCCAGTCTTGCAGTACAGCTCACTCTCATCAGCTCGTGGTGTTCGGTTTCAGGAGCTAGCTGGGCGGGCCTTCAACATGGACTTCGATTGTTCCAACAGCACGGCGGAGCATCAGTTTGTCAAAAACACGACAGCGCCGTGGACGAATATTGCCGCGGGCCCACACAGTTTTTCGAGAAGGTGCATCTTCTCTGGATGAAACATGGGTAGCGTACTAACAGTTTAACTGGTTGTCCAATCATCTCGGCACCACGTATTCCAGGACCACTGTCACAGATGTCTGGACAGCTACTCCTTCTGGTATAGGATTGGCCGTTCGTGCTCGCAGCAAGCGCTACGATTTCGGCGTCTGCAGCGTGTATTTCCCTCCAGAACCCAAGCATGCGCAGGAAGCTCGATCATACCACACGCCAGGCGACGTCTTGATTCAATGGTTGCGAGGGCTGCCATTCTGGACGGCGCATCGGTGTCTACAGATCGTGTGTCTGGATCTCAAGTCGGGCTTCGGCTTCCAGCGCGACTCCAACTCCGAACGGTGGGTGCCTGTTTCATCAGTATGGCCTGGCGATCGGGCGACTCTTGTTCGACAGAGATGCGCTGCAGATGTTTTGCTACGTTTCATGGAATTTGTGGATGTAATTGTAGAGAACATTGTTCAGGGTGCTGGCGCAATGTGCTACGGTGCATCAGGCAATGGCTCGCAGTTCGATTGTATTCTTATGCCGCACTGTATGCTTACATCCGTGACTTCAGTCGGACTTTTACGCCTGCATGCCCGTGAATGGCAGATGATACCATCACGCCAAATTCGCGACCATGTCCCTGTGCATGCCCCAACGCAATATTCATTCGTAGGGTGCTCTTGGACTGCCCAGCCGTGAAGAAGACGACATCGATATGGGCTTCATCCCGCAGAAGACCAACTGGATTCGTGTAGCTTTGAGGGTTTCTCCCAGGCGAGTTGCTCATTTTGTTACGGGCAGTCGGGCACCGCATGGCACAGCTTCAGGCTAAGTTTCTGCAGGTACGGCATAACGAACAGCCACCTGAACAATAATGGGGTCTCTTTCTCCATATTTTAGGGAAGCTATTTACCAGTCGTCCTGAACCGCGCCCAGTTCACCGCCAACGTGCGCAGCAACTACTCGAGCTACTACGTCGTCGACGGCAATTCCGGTTGCAATTTTTTGCGGCTGACGACCACGATGAAACTTCTCTTGCACGACAGCTTCCAGCCATGAGTAAACATCAGCGGCGACTTACAGGCTGACCGTCAGGGGCGCAATGTAGAAGTGGCAAAACCATCTCGCACATTATCGGCTCGTGGTGCTGGACCCGGGCCGGCGCCGGGCCGGCGCCGCAAGTATCGCCGATCTGTCAGCGCAGTTTCTACCTCACAAGACCTGCAACGCCGTTTTAAATTGCATTCTGGTGGTGGCGGCATGGATGCTGACTTGATGAAGTGGACAGATCACGTTCGCGACTAGCTTTCTGGACCGCACAAGGTGGAACGTGCTGACATTACGGACCCTTTACTCAGCAATGATTGGGCTGGTCACGGGGAAAGTTATACAACCAATGGGCCGAGAGTTGTGGGCGGCGACAAAGCGATGTGGTTCGCCGCCGTGGTCACTACTGCTCGAGTTACGACGTACATCCAAGCGTGATCGTGGGCTTGGCTATGAGCAGCGCGAGATCGAACTCCAGGAGGCGCGCTATTTCTTAAAGAGCATGCTGCGCAATATTTATCGCACCAGTCAGGTGCCCTCGGTGTGAAATTCGTCTCATTGAGTGGCTTTCGCATTCAAGAGGGTAACCCACGTTCTCTGCCCTTTCGGCGTATCATTCATATCCAAATGAATCTCCTTAGCAGAGCGCAATTCAGAACCTTCCTCCCCGCGCGGTTGCGTGACCAAAAGAAGAAGAGATACCCCAATGATGGTTCAGCAATTCCTGGGGCGGCGACTGCTGCGTCCTGGCGTGCAGCTTCTACGCGGGCACAAAGATGTCACCCGCGCTTTCGGGGGCACCTCGTTGGCGACCCTCAGTCGGGCCAACGGTGGGGTCGTGTCAGTTCAGGAGGCGCGTTGCAGAGGACATCGGTTTTGGCGTGCTGCATTTTTTCTTCCTGACCGGGCGGCATCGCGTTTGCGGGGCCTCGGCGCGGGGGGCCTCCACTGAGATCCATCGGCGGCGAAAGTCTCCGCGCGCGACACGGGGATTCCTCGGGGGGGACTTGCGCGCCAGGGGTGCCATGCAAGTACATGGTGCGTGATGGGCGTGCCCCGCCTCGGCTCCACAATCGAGCTCGACCTCGCGCGCCATAGCTGCGTCGAGGATGCGGCGTAGGTCTTGGTTTCAGAAGTTGAAGCAGTGGATGTGGTCGAGGAGCTGAGCGCTAAATCCGCCAGGTGCGACCGCGTGCTCACAGTGCGCGAGCTAGAGCATATCTACTTGCGAAACCGACCAACAACTAAACCGTGATCTCAGTGTTTCGACCTGGTAGCAAACGTGCGAACTCTAGATTTCAATCAGGTTGCCTGCGTCGGGCGCCGTGAATGATGGAGCTCGCATGCTTGGTGGTAGTCTTAGTCTTAGGAGAGACTCGACATTCAGCAGTGAATTGCCTGCTCGACTCGCTGCAGTTGATGCTGGCTGTGCCGCGATGGGCCGAGATTGGTTTCGGCCGCGTATCCCGTTCGCCGAAAAAGGATTTAGCGTTTTTCAGTCGAGTCCTTGGCCGCGCACTTACCAGCGTCGAGAGCTCCATTCCCGCTGCCGCCCAGTTACAGAAGATCCGGGCTCGCGTCGCGGGCGACGCGCGCAGAGCTTTTCAGGGGGCCGCGAGTATTGAAAGAGGTCAGTACCCAGCGCCCCTCACCAATCGAGACTTTCTTGGCTTTTTGGCGTTTCGCTCCTCTAGAAATCGAGCTCCGTTCCAGAATGCTTAACTAAGTGGTTCCGGTATTGGACCTCGGCCCCTGGTCTTCGTCTTGTCGACCAGGGCGCTCTTCGAGGGGCTGCGGGGGTCGAGATCGACAGCCGCCTCCGCGTCGTGGATGCGCGGGGCAATTTTAGCGAGACTGCGCGTCCATTGGCTCGTCTTTTCGTCGCCGACGTCGCTCGCGTGTCGAGCTAGGGAGTGAGGAGTTCGAGCGAATCGCCGACGAGTTCGATTGTGCTCCGCTCTAGCCTTTTCCCGGGCCCCGAGCCGACCGATTGGTTCGTCAATCTTGATGTCGAGGAAATCATCGCCAATTTGCTCAGCGGACGCATGCCTCCCCCCCGGCGCCGGGCGCCACCTCCTCCGAAAATGCATCATCGGGATCGCGCAGATCACAGCCCAGGTAGCCGCGCGTGCACTGCGCGAGGCTGTCCGCGGGCTTTCGCATCTCGAAGGCAGCTCCGGCACGGGTTTTGAGAATTTAGTTTCAGGCAGCGTTTGCGTATTAATGCTTCGTGGGCCAGTCGGTTTTCGAAAACGAGAACGGCACGTATAAGCATGTAGCGGCGTCATTCAGTGCAGGTGCGTGCGCGGCTTCCAGGGGCAGCACCTACCAGGTTCGCCAGAACGACGGAACGATGGTGCATTCTGTTGCCCATCGTGCCAGGCTCAAGCTCACGATTCAGCAGTGCTACATCTCCATGTCCGCGAGCCCTTGAGTTTCGTCCGCTCGCCGACGACGGAGATCGAGGCCGCTCCAGGCTGGCTTCCCAAGACCGCGCGCGTGGCCGAGATTGCCGCGGCAACGGAGAAGGACTTCAAGCTCGCCTGTCTCAAGCAACGGGTCGAGGGGGAAGCCGAAGACTCAGGGGGGCCACTGGCATCTCCGATTGCCGCCCCGGCCAAGCTGGCGCTCAGAGACAACCGCGAGCTGGCGGAGCTCATCGGCGCCAACTGCACTTGCTTTTTGCTCCCGCGCCATGCCGATCATATTCCAGCGAGCAAGCGAGCCGGTTCAGACTACGACGGGAAGTGCAAGACGGAGGGCAAATATGATTCCGATGGGCCACCGTGGCCCCAC